GCAACTGAGATTGATATATATGAAGACTCGCGGGCCCCGTAAGGGAGCCGGAGGGGGGTGTTGGAGACCAGAGATTCTGATTCCAAGTGGGGTTACCCTACTTAGGGTGGTTCCTAGGTATTGGGTTCTAGTATTCCTAACAACAAGTTTCAAAAATATTCTCTTCTTTAAAATGCAAGTAATGTAATGTAAATATTTTTATCATGTTTCCAGCTAGTCTGCAATAGCCTGTGATTCCTACATTACTGTTGTTTATAAAATAAAATTTACTTATTATTAAATCTCATCAAAGAAATATTTGCCAACTAATTTATCCAATATTAAAGATTAAGTATTCCAAATTTTAATAGTATTTTTATAAACCGGACCGTATTTTCCTGATGTGGATCTTTGAACAAAGTCAGCACCGATGGGTCCATGTATCAGTCAAAACACACCGCCACCGCTGCTGGCCAAGGTCTCCGAAATTGGAATTCGTACCCCACTTTTTTTCTGAAGCAACATAAGACATCTATCAATAAATTGCTGAAGAACTGCCAGTTCCGGAATCCCCATTCCTATACTGCATTCATTTGTTCTGTGGGCGACTGTGATTACACGGCATGACTGATACCAAAATTGGACCCAAGTATCATACTGGGAATGCTCATCGGCGCCGGGATAACAGGATATGATACCCCCTTTGGCAGTAGTTCACCATATGCTTCAAGATTTGGATCTTGCAGTTGGAGTATCCGGAATCCGCACCTTGCAAGGGACTTGTTCACTCCCACCATTTGCGTCGAGTTCCCGCAAAGTGGGAAAACAACATTTTTGGTGTAAAAATGCTCACCTCGCTGTACTGTACGTACGCCCCCTCCCAGTACCGACCAATTATTGAAGGCAGCCTTATCACAGAAGCTCTTCTAGTGCTCAAAAGACTTTTCACTCGGGAGTTTTGTGAGAAAAAAAAACAAAGAAACTGTATTATTTTTTCCTATTTCCGAATCCTTCCGTTTCAGGTCTCCCAGGCTACACTCTCAGCTAGGCAAAGACCCTCAGAAGAACCATTCGCACTGGCTTCTAGAGGGTTGAGCTTTTATAAAAAGTGCTTTTGAAGGGTTCCTGGAGATACCTAACGCACGGATGAGCTATGTCTGAGTGCACACATCGTCCTCGGAAGCATGCAGAGGAAACTAACGGTCACCGAGAAACAATACGGGAGAGACTAGCACAGATACCCCCCCTCCCCTTACCGGTGCACTATATCCCGACTGTTGGTGGCGCAAACACCCTGAAACTCTCCGGTTCCCTGGTCTCTCTGGGCAAACCGGGTCGCTGCATCCCTGGATCCTGCCTCTGGCTGCCCGAGTGAATCGAGTGATGCCTCGTGTTACAGAAATTCTCTTTACGGGTATTCATCCGCAAGCAACTCCGCGTCAAACACATATTCCCCCGACATCTCCTAGAGTCTACACTAGACGTTAGCTATCGACGCTGTTAAATAATGCCTCCGGATAACGCCGTATTCCGGGGAAATAAGGATTTCGTGGTTGGGTTGTTTTGAATTTGGGTCTTGTGGTGATTGAAGAGAAGGTGTGCTCTGCCCTGTGATGTGTCACTGATAGCTCGCCGTATTAGACATTTTTCTCTCCGCAGATCCTTGTCTTCACTTTCACCTCGAACTCGAGATCTCTGTCCTGGGCGAGGAGTTCAGCGCCAGCTAAACTCTACTTGGTCGGATTTTCTGCCCTTCAAGCTGGGAAGCAAGGATCTACTGAAAGTCTCAATCGAGAAGCGCAATCGTATTGGGCATCTTTGGAAAGGGCTGTTTTGGCCTTGAATTCCAATTTGTTTGATTCGCGGAAGACTAGTCATGGTGGTCAGTTTTGCGTAGGCAGTTAGTAAAAATAGTGCACTCAGCGGGGGTGCGACATGGTACTGTACATCGAAGGATACGAACCGCCGTCACCGGCTGTGCACGTTGGAAGGTTGATGGGATATCTGCACTGGCGGGTCCCAATTCGAGGCTCCACGGACGGCTTGGTTTGTGGCGCCGCGAGGTTCACTGGAGAGAATGCATGGTCAATGCCCACGAGAAAGTGTTGTTTTTGCTCCCACATCACTATGATCGATCAGATTTGGTAGAAGCTTGGTATTCCATATTCATGGAACGCTCTTGAGTCTGATAAACCTTCTCTACCAATTGCGAGACTCCGCGGATAGTGTCTTCCCGTAAAAGAATTCGGGGGGTCCGGTGGGTCAGCATACACCACCAACTATTTTTCCTCCGACTTCATGATGTGTTCCTCGTGCCTGGCGTTAGGTAAAGGGAATCAACAGGTGACAGGTACTAGTGCACCTATCTAAACGCGCTATTCTCTCCACTGCTCAGCTGAACACCAGGTGGCCTTCCACCACACGTACTTTCTACCAGGCACCATTCCACGCAGCACGGGACACAGCTGAATGACCCCCGAACCTGTGACGATAGCGGATTTACATCTTGAATGCCAAAGAAGTAGTCGCGCTCGGACTATTCCATTATCCAGCCCAGAAGACACATCTTCTACTGTAGCTAGCGAGTCCACAAGGCACTCGAGACTCCGATTAAAGCAAACACAGTACTATAGCATGTAGCACCCCGAGTATTACCAGTACCGTGGGCCTAATCACCCATCTTGTAGCCTACCATGACCTCGTAACGCTAGGTTTAGCTATTCAGGCTCATAAATGGTCACTCGAGAGAAATGCCAAATCTCAACGATAATGCTCGGCATTGAAGGATAAAGTGTCAAGAGATGTGTTGCCGTATCGCAGCCGATCTGCCGACCATCTGCCGCCCTTCCTAATCGATCAGGGTCCGACATATTTACGACGCAATCGCACCGCAAATTTCTGCAACATCGCCTCGGATGCGCTCGACTGCTAAAGGGTGGATTTTCCGGGCTTGCAAGCGAAAAGGCGCTACAATACACACACCAAAGCTCTTCCGCTGGAGGGGGGGTTGCATCAAGTGTCCTCCAAAGCCAGGGCTGAGCACCTCTGTGGAGCGTGCAGTGGGGGACGGTATCATAGGACAGCATCAGATAGCTCATAGGTTACAGGTTCATGGTGCGACGTTGCACAGGAGGAAATCCATATTTAGCCAACACAGCCCCAGAGCGAAAGGACCGTTCCGTGAGCTCCCCCACACGGGATCTGTGGCCACGGACATCCTGCTAGCAGGGGAGGTGGGCTATTATTGGAAGGGAAAGTTAAAGGTGAATCACGGTTTAGACTAACGGCGCCTGTACGAGTTATTGAATGATACGAGCGGGCAACGCGGTACCGCGTGCGCAAAGAGCATGAGATAGTCTAAGACAGGTCCGACGGGAGGAGTTTTGAGATGGGGCTTCCATCATGGATGGGCCATGTGCATATAGTAGCCGGTATCGGAGGAGAGACTGGATCTGGGTGGGTGTTGAAGGGCCTTGTCGTGGGATTATGGTTGCTCGTAGCTCTACCAATACCGGTACCCTATCCGTTGTATCAGTCAGGATGGACAATGAGTGGGTTTGAGTTTTGATAGGAGCAGCTGGTGGAGGTGTCTTTGCTTTTTTGGTCTTGTCGTAGGAGTACCGGTACCGGTACGGTGGTCTTACAAGCGCTCGAGCAGCACTGTAGCCAACAGCTCATCCCGCGATCATTTCACCTGACTGGCGGAGGTTCGAAGTTTCCCCGTCAGTCCACCTGTATGGTGCACAATCTTCCTGACCTACAGTACCGGTACCAGTACCGCACCCCGGAGTTCAGGTTGGCTGTTTGATTTTTTCTTGTGACTTTTTATTCTTTCCTTGGGGGCTTCTTTCGTCCTACCATCGTCCCGGCGAGCGGGAATCAGAACGGCTCTAGGGCTACGATAGTCTCCGTCATCACTTTTTCTCTTGAGAGCGAACACTGGAAGAAGTTTGGAAGACAAGAAAGGAGGAGACCTCTACAGTACTGCTCGTATCTACAGTTTTCACAGGCATCCATTTGGTTCATCTCCTGCTTCTTCGGTCACTGCATATTTATCCTCCTTTCTTTTCTCTTCTCCGTGTCGGGGCTCGGAGCGGTTGAGCGGGTAAAAAAAAAAAAAAGAGAGCGGGAAAGGGAAAGAAAGGAAAGAGTACGATAGGATTTTCTTTCTTTCTTTTCCTTTTTCCCCCCTCTTCTCCTCTTCCTGCCTAGCTTATTGCTTGCTTCTCATCCTTCACTTGTTCACTTCGAAACTGTTACCCATACCGGTACTTTACACTGCAGCGGCTCGCGACACGCGACGACTCAAGAAATTGGCCGTCGACCAATCACTACCTTTCGAAGTCGCTTCCAACGGTTTCTCTCTTGTTTTGTTTTCTTCTTCTCTTCCGCGAAGGGTGTTTTGTTCTCGTGTTGATTGAAGAGGGTGCGTTCGAACTGACTGAACGGGCGACTTGTGACTGCATTTCTATCGATGAGCAGAAAAGCTTACAGTACTGTACTTGTACCAGGAATCGGCAGCACCAATTCGCTGAACCCATCGATCGAGAATTTGAGACAACCAGCCAAGCGACACCAGCACAGCCCCGGTCACTGCGCTTCCTTCCTGCAGAGTACTGGCAAAGAAGGAATTAAACCCCATCGACAATCACGACCTTGTCCGACATCACGTCTATCTTATTTTTTTCTCTTCCCTTGGACCGGGCGTTACCACCGAAAATACTAGGCCTGCAATCCGTCGCTACTGCTTTTGCTGATTGTCCTGGTTGATCCAATTCTCGCTTGTTCCTCTGGGGGGTAACCCCGATCGCCAGGGCTGAAGTGAAGGAGGGAAGGAAGTGAAGGGACTATTTTTAGTGGGGGGAAAGGTGAGCTAGCTTGCAAAAGGCCCTACCGAACCCGTTCCTTTCCATGGCGCTATACTCGAGTGCCATTCACTCGATCGAAGGAGATCTCTCGGGAATAGGCTGACGACCTTTGTCCTTATCCTTTTTTACACTTCAGGTACAGAGCAGGGAAACGTTGTCACAATGCCGACAGAATCACTGTTGTCGTCGCCATCGCCATCGCCATCGCCGTCTGATGCCCCCGCTACAAGATCGATAGAAATTTCACTTTCCTCTCCATCCACTCTTGTTCTGCGTAAACGACGGCCAAAGCACACTTGCCCGCCTTATCCATTACCCTTATACTGCGCCTTTTCTCGTTCACCCTCCACCTCCCACTCGCTCATGTTACTGCTCCTGGTCGTCCTTGCCCTGTTTGCGGGCTCGGCACGTTCAGTGTTGATCAGTACATTTGATAATTGCTTAAGTGATGACGTAGTACGCTCACCGACCGATATACAATTCCACCCGTTGGTGGTTGCAGCTGCGTTTGGTACGAAAGATAAGGACCTTTTACAGATTACCGTTTGGGGCAACGTTACAGGGGATAACTCTTCGAATCCTAGGGGGAGGCATCGGAGGGATTTGCGTGGGAGTGATGGGCATTTCCAACCCAGGGCGGGGGATTGGCCTTGGCTGGAGGCACGCCAGGAGGTCGCGAATTCTCAAAACTTGAACGGAAGCGCCGTTACCGGTCAGCCGGGGACTTTGAATTGGGGACTGGCCAACTTTCAAAATCCTACGTTTGACAGCGATGTTCAGTATCGGAATTCGGGTCTGATTGTGCATTCGGATCAATCTTGGCCGAAGGCTACAACTCTCCAGCCCAAGATTCAGATAGCATCCTTTGACACGTCTGCTGGTGCAATCTTCTTATGTACAGTTACTGGGTTTCCCAATGCCCGAGCGCCGTGTCCCTTGAAAACAACCAAGAATATGTCCAAGAGTGACGCGCATAATTTGACTGTCTTGATGAAGGAGCTCCCCTCGTTTACATGGGAATACAATTTCACGTCTGGGTACAGCTTTGCTAGCATTGACACGACATTCACTATTATTTCGGGCAACAGCGACAAGACCCTATTTGGCTGCATTCATGTTGAAACTACTCCGATGCTGGGAAAGTCTAATGACGCAGCCCTGACATGGGTTCCCGCAGGAGTACTAGCTTTGGTTGCTCTTGGGACCATTCTTGCGGCTATGTTGAATCCCTGGGTTGGGACTACTGATATCTTCAGGTGGAGCAGCAACTATGGAATGGATGAGGATATGATACGATTGGTTACACCTGGGTTTGCCGATTGTCTCCAGTGGTTACAATTCTTCGTTCTTACTGGGAGTTTAACGCTCAGCTATCCTGGCTTTTACCAGCCCGTTGTTTCCAGAGTCGCTTGGAGTGCTTTGCTCTTCAATACTAGTTTCTTTTCTCATGACCCGATTAGTCAGCGGAGATGGGCTGGTGATGGCCTTTACGCCCTAGATGCCACCGCATATGGATTTGAGAGAGTAGCTCAAGCTGTTGGACTGCAGACGATTGATGATATATGGGTGTGCGTTATGGCATTCTTTGGTGTTGTGGCGATAGGGACAGTTGTCATGCCACAGCTATGGTTTGCTGGCAAGTGGATTGTAAGGAAGGCTATGGGACACGAGGAAGGCGATTTGACGAACAAGAACTTGCCGTTCACCTTTGGTACGCAATATGTGGTGGAAGTTGTGGGGAGTGGGATGCTAATTTCTCCTTGTTTAGGGATGCTGAACCGTATCACATATACTTATTTCCTCACCCCGATTTTGGCTGCTTCCATCTTTGTACTTACTACCCCTGGCCGTGGCAGCAATACTATCGTTGCCCTTGCTGCGGCCTTGGTACTTGTCATCATCGCGGTCGCTGTCTTGCTCACCATTCGCATCTGGAGCCACAAGCCTCGGTCTACGTTGTTTGATAATCTTCCTACTCTGCTCACGTTCGGGACATTCTACAATACTTATCGCGAAAAGAACCTCAAGTTCTTCATTGTTCAACTGTTTGTCAACATTAGCCGTGCAATTGCTTTTGGTGCACTTCAACCCAGCGGGATTGCCCAGATTACCATCCTGGCTATTTGTGAGATTGTACTAATTCTTACAGTATGCGGAATCAAACCCTATGCGCCAGCAACATCAATGAACGCTTGGCAAGCAATCTTTGCTGTCATTAGACTACTGACCATCTTGCTTATGATGGCGTTTGTGCCTAGTATGGACGCCCAAGACGCGGCAAAGAGTTGGATCGGATATGTCATTCTCGTGATACACGCCTTGGTGCTTATATTCGGCTTTTTTTTCATGGCCGTGCAAACATTGTTGGAGTTATTTATTCGGGGGTGTGGTGGTACTGATGAGGGAGAGGCGGCTAGAGGAGGACTTGCTAAAGTAAGTGCCATTAAATTTTGCACGCATTCTCCCAACGTGTCTGGTTGTGACAAATTGATTACAAATTTGGTAATGCCCGACCCAGCCCAGTCGTGTCCACAGCGGCCACGATTGGATTTGTAGGTATGATGGTTCTGAAAGGTGGGCGGTGGATTCATCTGATATTATTTACTGCGCAGAGGATATGAGTGACTTGGAAGATTGGACAGTTCCTAACCTCCATGTTTATAGCCATTGTCACAAACTACTTACACCTTTTGTGATTGCGTTTTGTTGGAGATATATATACTAAGAGTACTGTCTGCATCAAGGTATTCGGAATGCGTCAACTTTCTCGTCGTAAGCATAAGCAACATCGCGGTTCAGTCGACCCTAGCATCATCAATGTATCAACACACGATGAACATAAAATGTCGTCAACCCCCGATAATAGGCCAGCCGGAGTAGGCCCCCGCTCCCATTCTGGAAGCTCAGCTGTATTGCTTGGAGGACCGGGTGTGCCTACAGGAGCACCTGGAATGATGGACGTTGGCAATCAGACCAACCATCACCACTCTGGAAGCGGAAGCACTGGATTTACAACTACAACACCCGGAACTGCTAGTAACTTTTCCTATATGGGTGTTGCTGCGGGACCTCCACTAGCGGTGGACACTGGTGCCACCACCGTAGCTAGTCCGTATTATCGGCCGCCAAGAGCGACAGGGGGAACGTACGGACTGAGGAACTCGGGCGGGGGCAGTGGGAGTGATAATTATTCACCTGGGACAAGGAGTAAAGGGAGTTGGGGCAGTGGGATGTGGGGGACGACAGATGCGTCAGGCGGGATGCAAAGGAGTTCACAGGGGAGTTTACCAAACGGACCCGACGATTTGTGGAACCACGGACCAGGACCTTCCTCCGGGACTGGAACGCCACAGGGCGGCGCAGCGGACATTTCTAGAGGAGAGCTGCAACCATTGGCTCACAGACATACAGATAATTCACTCACGGCCGGGAGCGTCAGAAACACCGCACAAACAGATTACACGATACGAGAGATGGACTATTACTATGGAGTACGCGGACCAGCCCTCAATGACCAACCCGGTCGGCGATTAGGCACTGGCCCAGCAGATCCTACCGGGCCGGTCGCTGTGACAAAGGGTTGGCTCTGGAAACGTCTAGGCTGGGGATTTGGGGGAAAGAAAGAAACTGGTTTCATTGTCGACCGCAGTAGCCGTGCGCCAGAAGCACTTCTAGATGCCGAGCGAGCGGCCAAAGGTATAGGTATGGCTGTTACAAGTCAAACCCCACCGGTCCCCGACCAAAGCGACAGCAGTGACAGCGATGACGACACCGGCGACGAGGAGGAGGCCGGCAAGAGCTCTAAGCGGCATAGGCGAAGAAGAAAGACTCCATCACCAATGAGCCACTTGACCGGGCGTTCTAACGGCCGCCGGAAAAGCTTATCCTTGATCAGCCAAAACACGGACTCTGATTCAGAAGGCGAAGACGGGGGTGAAGCTGCAGGACCTAGCTCAAGAATGTTGGAGAAGAAACCGGCGGCGGCCTACGACGGGTCTAATAACATTGAGCTCCAACGCCAAGACAGCATCAAACCTGAGGTTCCGAGAAAGTCTTCTAAGAGAAAATCGGTAACTTATTTGACAGCCTTTAACTCGAATCCGCCGGTCAGTACCTCACCGCAACCACATCAGCCACCTCTACAGCAGCAGCCATTGCAACCAACTGGTTCCCCCGGAGGTCCGGTTCAGGCGCGCCTTCCCCACCATCCGTACGACCCTCCACCGCTGCGTCCGTCACTGCATCCTCGCCATCCGCAATACGATACAAGAAACTTGACCCCCACACATTACAACGGTAACCCTTCCGGTCGCCTCCCGTTCACTACTACCTCCTCTACACAAGAAGGCCAGGAGAGCACACACACGAGAAGTATAAGTACAAGTAGTAGTCTACTCCCACCTCCACCGGAGATTACAGCTGATGATAACGCGTTAAGTCGCCCGCCATCGGTGGGCACTGTACATCGGTACAGGATGGAGGATTCGTTGAGGAACTCGGACGTGGTTGAGGGGGGGCGGAGCGGGAGTTTGGTCTATGAGGGGGGTGGGGGGTGGAGAGGCGAGGGTGGGTGGAGGTGATTGATTATCCACTTCTCTTGGGTTTTTTTTTTTGTTCTTGCTTTTCCCGCCTTCTCGTGTTACGGGTTCGGCAGGGAATGGTAAGGATTGTATGAATATATTGTTTAGTACTCCTTTAACTATTCTTTTCTCTTCCTTACCTATTTACTTGCTACAAGTTTTTGGTCCTGTCCGTTGTTTCTCTACATTTTTGGATTTTCCCTTTTCCTCTTTACCATTCTAACAAACTTGCCACACACATTTCGGCGGCGGGGGTTTATTTTTTATTTTTATTTTCTCTTTCAAACTGATACTTTACCTAGCAAAAGTGGGAGTATGGGTGTCTTTACCTTAACGTGGCTTGTTTATTAGCTAGCTGTGGACGGGTTGATGGGTGGGTGTATTATCTGGACGTAGGTGCTGCGAGGGAGTAGAACAATTGGTGTATATAAGTGTAGGGAATACATGCGATCCGGTTCCAATATTTTTTGTTCATTATCACGAGTATCACATGCATCAGAGCATAGTCATAGATTCTCACCCGCTGCCGATACGGCAAACACGGAGGGAGCCATGGGCCGCTGGACACTACTGGTATTATCTTGAATTCTAGACAGTAAAAGACAGTGGTATATTGTAGGTCTTATGCAAACAAAGTCATCTCATCCTATTTTCATTTAATAGAGATGTACTGTACAATGATAGTTGAATAGTACTATTCTACTTCTGGAAATACCTCTTTCGGGTGGATATGGTACCTTTACATAGATCCACAATATTCTGCAATCTCTATACTAGCATACAGTAACATGTGTTCTGTTAATTCTAATTCTTATAAGTATGAGAAAATAGTACCACGGAGAATTTGAATTTATAGGAGAGATATAAATACCAATAATGTGCTTTGCATCTTATAATAAATAACATGCAAAAAGGTAAATAACATGAGACAATATACAATATATATCAGGATAGTATATAATGGAATTGAGAAGAAAAGTAGAAACTTGAAGAACATTGTGTATTTAATTTGTTTAACTAAATCTTATAGTTGAAGTAATCCCTTTATACTAGTAATACTGGTAGGAAAAGATTATATAATTGATTGAATCTTTGAATAAAGTGGTCTAATTAAACCAGTTGAGAATTTTTCATTAATACATCTCTAGTAATTGAAATTTATTTCTCATTTGAGATAGACTTAGTAACAAGTTCAATAGATACTACTTTTTATCTCTTATTAGAAACCAGCCAGAACTCATAAGTTATTACTTTTCATCTTCCTCATGTTTCAGAACTCTTTTCTATTCTTTCTCCTTGAGATCTATTCTCTATAACTTCACTGTTCTCAGGCTATTCTTTGTATATCCCATAATACTAATTATAATACTTAACTTATAACGCTTCTGCTATAGTATTACTTAGTACTAGTACAGTTGAGGTTATCTTTTTTTATTATACCAAATGGTAGAGAATATAGTATGTAGTATGTGTTTATGATAATTTCTAGAATTAATAAGTTTCTACTAGAAGCTTTACTGATTTATCATAATATTTCCCTATTAGTGAGTTTTTAGTAATTATAACTAAAAAGAGCTTTATCAAAACTGCCTAGACAAATCTCCATCTATAGTAAAGATTCAGTCTCAAGCATCTCCATATTTATTATGAGTTGACATCAACCTAACAGAAGGAGTCTACTGTGAAAACTGTATGATTTATTATAAAATACTTGATAGAAAGAAGTAAAGCCCAATAAAGATTAATTGAGCAATAATAGAACCTAATGATGAAATGCATATAGGTTGAGATTATATTGGTCAGGCATCCTAATAAACAGGCTAGTTTATCAAGTATTTATATGATAATTACTATGAAATTTAAGTCTACTTAGGTATAAGTTAATTGTTAGTCGGAGACAACTTGATAGACTTCAAGATTGTCTAGGCCAATCGAGATTCGTTTTTGTAGACGGAGATTGTCTAGGAAGGCTCGGACTTGGCTCGTTTTGTTTATGACTACTAGGAGCAAAGTAAAGTAGGTAAAGTAGGGTAGAATCATAAAAACAATATTATATTGTTAAGGTCTCTTCTCTGTTGCTTGATGATGTCTAAAGCTTGGGAGGCACTTTGATATTTATATTCCGTGTCTGAGTGTTCATGGACTACATCTATTTATCATACAACTATGTACTTCTTTAATCGTAATTCACAACGTCGAGTTTTCTTCCAAGGTGCGAACACCTGTGGACCCTGAAAACCATCACACCCTCTTCGGTAATTACGATATTTCTTCTTAGGAAACGACTGTCTCCAATAGTAATATCCCAATTAGCAGAGTCTTTGGACTTATGGCCTAGTTCTTAAGGCGAACTGAGTTGGCTCCAATTGTCTTCACCATTGATAAAATGATCAGTTTTATTCATGGCTATATCTGCAAAGGTGGTCGTCATTACAACTATCATAGGTCGTCTGACTCCGATCCTTTGTAACTCCAGACCCAACTGATAGATTTTCTCTGGATAACTTCCTATCAACTCGTAGGAAGCTATTCTACCAGATTGGTAATTAATCCCTCGGTCAGCAACCATTGGTTGCTCTCTGGGTAATAGGTTTCAGTAACCATTGTAGCATTGAAGATCATCCCATGATTACGACGTGTTCTGAAACCCAGTTGCAACACTCTGTGAAGTTTGTTGGCTTCTTTGGTAGTGTCTTTTGGAGTTCTAGACTCTTCTGGTGTATGTAAATGTATTGGTCTCTAGTAGAGATCCTTTACCATTTGATACCATCTCTTTGTGCGAAATCGTCCTGTTACTTACAGCCCATGCCAAAGGTGTCATGTCTTTGAAGCCAAGTAACTCTCTGAGTAGTTGACAGAATTACTCCATTCTACTTCCCAGGCCTAGCCGAAGGTCTCCTCTCATATAACCTGTGAACAGGATCCGGTCGGACAGATGGCGACGACGTATACGGTGTTATTCTAACACCTTCAATTCTGTGGTAATATAGTCACAGGACGCAACTGAGATTGATATATATGATAACGTGTGGGCCCCGTAAGGGAGCCGGAGGGGGGTGTTGGAGACCAGAAATTCCAATTTCGAGTGGGGTTACCCTACTTAGGGTGGTTCCTAGGTATCGGGTTCTGGTATTCCTAACATTAATTCACATTTACTTTAATTATTATCTACTTTTCATAATCGGAAACTTATTAATTCCAACTTTAAGCTTATTAATATTAAGTTTTACTACTGTTTTTTTTTTCGAATTCTGCTATTAAGACTTTAAGACTTTTATCTTTATTTCTATCTTTAAGTAATACTTTAGTACAACCAGATTCTCAGGATTTATTTTCTTATAGGAGTCTCTTATTCTGACAGAAATTATGAGACTACCGAGTTTAAGTAAATATACATGTTATATGTCCTCATATATCAGGCCTGAAATCCTTATCCTATATAAGCCGAATTACATACTACTCTATTCTATCTAATTACAACAGCTTTTAATATTTGTAATCTTAGTTAATCCTCAAATTTTCAGCTGTTAAATCTCCATGGTAGAATCTATTTGTATCTCGTAATATATTGGTGACCGTTTCTCTAGGTCTCGAGGAGGCACCTTCTTGTAAGAAATATCCTAACCATATTGGTCTACGACTTGGAATCATCTGAAATTACTCGCATCTGAATCACGGTGTTGGATTCGCACTTGCCTACTTCAAAGCACAGCCTTTCCTATCAACCCACCCAGTAAACAACTGCAATTCCGGTACCCCGTTATGCACCATATGATACTGGTTTAAAATATCTCACAGTGGGGCTTTTCTCCTCCCCGCCATCCCGCAATACCATGCCTACAAAAAAACAAAATCCCGATCACGGTTGGACAATTCCAACTGACTGTGCTCCTGCCCTTTAAACGTGCGGGGTACCTAGTTTCTCACACAGAGTATTCCGGCCTTGGGGGCCTGAGCCAGACGACGAAGGTAGGAAGAAACAAGAAACCAGCCAGGCACAACAGTATACTCAAGGCACCGACTGTTCCTCTTCTTGGTGGACGGTATTCAGGTGCATTTTTATCTCGTAGTCTGCTAGTTAGTTTCTTTCACAGTGTAATGGGGGGGCTACCTTTTGAAACCGGGAAAAGTTCTTTAACAGGCAGGGCACAAAGAGAGGGCAGCTTGATCGCTGGTTCCAAACTCTTTAAAGATCCTGCATCCCGGTGGCTTCTAAGACGGAATCCATGGTGTTTACTATTCCGTCTTCCAGCGAATCAACTGATACCATCCACTTCCCTAAAAAATATCCATAACCTTACCATTCTCTATACCAAAACATCCTAATTACTACTACTCGGCAGCACATCCTACCACCGGGCAGACCTAAACCGCAGACCGCGGCCAAGCCACCAGAATACCAAACCGTGAAAACAACCGAAATTGATGATACCGCTCGGGCGAGAAACTACTTCCCCGGTCCACAGTCCATATTTCAATCACTCCATGCGCGCCAGCACCACTACTCCCTTCCAATTGGGGTCCAAGAAGCCGGTAGAACAGCTCGATACAGACGTGGATGTATACTATCCTACCGACTCTCCTAAGAGCAAGGAGCGAGGAAGCTCGTACCGACCCCCCCCCCACACAAAGGAAAAAGTAGTAAAATCCTCCCAATGTCATTACCTCTTGTACAAATTCACCCTGTGGTTAGTCCGGCTGCGCAATCCCGTTGGAAGTCAGATACTCCAATTAGTAATGTTATGGAACACAATTACTACCGGTACCTGCATCTGTTCCAGTAGAACTGCATGTGAATCATTCCTGTCTACCATACTTTGTGGCTTCCAGGTCTTCCCTGTCCGCTGGCTTCCAGAAGAGCTCAATTCTGGATTTGTGCTTTTGGTGGGGGCGTTGGAGTTGGGTGGGCTGCACGGGTATGAATTGGAGGGGTTAGATGGGTGGTGCTCGAGCTGTGGATATCAGTGGCGGACAGAGGTAGTTGGGGGAGCGGAGTATTGCCGTTTGGTTAGGGGATGGATGTTAAGTTAGTGGGGAGAGAAGAGAGATGGGGAAGAGATATGATTGAGGGTAATGTCGGGAGGAACTCCATTGAACATACGTCCGTAAAAACATAGAATTATGTATGCTGGAAAACAGGTTTTTTTGTAGGTAAGCATCACCACTGAATGATAGAGGCAAGTCTTTGGCTGTGGCCCTCATCACACCACGACGCGGTCTCCAAAACCGATCTTTCACCTATCATTATTACCATCCCTCCACCTACCAATTTACAGGTCCGCTGAGTGCTCTTTAGAATTCCGTATTCAACTACCGAGCTAATACATACTCCATACTTCAATTTATAACAAATGCGGAAATTTCAACAATAAGTAGCCCATCCTGTCTTATCCAACCCTAGCCCACCCATCTCATTCTCATTTACATGCCAAACCCCACCTCTGGTTCCCCGGCCCAACCTCTAGCAAACACTACTCACACAAGCTAATGTACTGTACGTTACATCCAATAGGTGAACCGCCACACATATCTTAACACCCACATACACACCCCTCCCATCCCATCGGAGCAACAAGCAAAGCAAAGCAATAAAAGACCAAAACACGCTATGCAACCGCCCGCCCGTCCGCAAAATCACCCCACGAGCGAACAAACGTATAAGTAAAAAAGCACAAATCCCACCGAAACAGTTAGTGTAAGCACACAGAGGTGCAATAAGAGAGCCAAAAAAAAAAAAAAAGGAGATGGGAAATAATGTTAGCAATAATGTAATCACAACAATCCTACGCCTAGGTTTAGCTAGCCATCAGCGAGCGAGCCAGCAGTGAAGCAATTAATGAATGAACAACTGAAGCAAGAATGAAGAAATCTATTACTCATGAACAGCGTGCACAGGGCACTCGCCGTTTCCTTTCTTGTCAAACCACATTCGAATGCATTTCTATTATCTCTAGTTAGTTTATTCAGGTAAAGAGAGCGGGAAGACGAAGTCACCTTGTGATACCGACACAAACACTCCAACCTGGCAATCATGTCACCAACTTCGAACTCTTCAAAGCAGATTACACATTCTGCCTTCTCCCGATCAGCATAACCTTCGCTTTCGCCTCTCTTCTCGTCAGCTCCCCCCCCAGATGCCCAGGTGTCCTTTTCACTGGCTTTCCACACAACCATGCGTCCACCTCCGGTATATCTTCGTGCGCGCACTGTTCCAGGGGGATTAGGGGTGCCGGCAGGGGTTCCAGCAGATGGAGTACCAGCGGGAGATGCCGAGGACTCGGCAGCACGAATGCAGGATTGGATGTGTCCCTCTCTTGCATCCTCGTTTCCGTTTGGGTCTACGGGAGGAAGTGGATGCGTGCAGATCGGACAATAGTCTGTTTCCTTAAGGTGTGGGCGAGGTGGCACATTTTGGCTACTACTTCGGGAGCGTTGTGAAGGGTGGTAGGGCGCAGGGGAGTAATATGGTTGCTGGCCACGACGGGGCGGGGGGGAATTGGAGGAGGATGCGGAAGAGTAGTAGTGATGTGCTTGGGGAGGAGCTTGGTAGTTCATGTACGCTGGTCGAGAGCCAGGGGACATGGCGGAGTGGTGTATGTGTGGAAGGGACCGCCCACCTTGGAACTGTGGAAATGTCAGCATAGTTCACTACAGTTCCAAAGGGTCTTTTACACTCTGCCTTCGCCGTCGATTTACATCTCTGCTACCCGGGGGTGGAGTCGGAACGCCCATCCCTCCGCTATCCCCACCAAGAAAACCGCTCACCCACCCACCTCCCCCATTGTTCCCGGAGTTCGGCCCGGAAGCGCCTCTCCCCGGACTGTGATGCGAGTCCGATGGCCTCCTGCCAAGACACTGCTCACAGATCCGCACTTGCATCCCTTCATCTTCATCCCCGGAGTTCGAATTCCAAATGAACGACTGAGACGCTGGCTCAGCTGTGATCCTCCCTTGTCTTACCTGGTTGTCCTCGTAATCGGCATCCCCGGGACTACCCGGCAAACGTGAGGGCGGAGGCTCGTAGCATGAAGTCTGTGCAGCCGGGCGGACAACGAAAGCTTTCGGGATGGTGATTCGGTGAGGTGAACAGGGATTACACACTACTCGTCCACATTTCCTAAACAACAGCTGAGCCGACAGAACAACTACACCAAGAAGAGTTACACGAACACCCATACCTGCAATGGTGTCTTCGGTTGAAGAATGTGAACCCATTATGACATATGGGGCACCGATTCACGCTTTCGTCCGGTTGCCATTGGGGAAGGATTAACTCGCTCGTTTGCCGTCTTGATGTTCTCCGATGAGGAGATGGGGATGAGGAGCTTTGCGAGGATGTTGAGCCGTGGTTACTATTCCGCCGTGAGAGGTGTGGAGGCGGGGGCTGAATTAGGTTATTACTTGGACGCCGTGGACGGTGTACTGGGGCTAGGGGAGGTAAGGGCGGTAGAGGCGGGAGTGGAGGTTGAGTTTGTGATTGTGTTTGTGATGATTCCATACTCGAAGCTAAGGACCTCACCGTGGAGGTGGGGATCAAGAGGTTGGTCGGCGGCTCCCAGTTTCGAAAGGTGTTGACGGTAAGTGTGCTGCTTGTTGGGGGGGCACTCGTGTAGCGCAGGGACGTTGCAGGCGATGAGGGGATGAGGTGGGGGACCCGCTACCAAGAGGGCAGGGGGGGGGTGTGACAGTTTGTTTTAACTTTTTATCCTTTTGCAATCTTGAGGGGGGATTAACACAGAACTTCTTTGTCCGAAACACCACTCACATTCAATGGGTGGTTTCCAGTAGCGAGAAAATAAGCGTAATAAGCGATGAGCTGTGAAGGTTTCGGAACTCGAAAGTCACTTCCTCTTGCGCTGTACGGGTACTATGGTGTGTCTGGTCACGAATCGAATTACGAGCTTGAGAAAATAATTCCCGCCCCGTGCCGATGCATCTGAGAGAGGGGAAGCTAATCCTGACGAGTCCGTAGCGGGCGGAGGGCTCGGGTTTAAGGAATATTCCAACCGACAGATCCAGAAGGAGAAAGATGTAAAGGAGTGAGTTATGATCAAAAGGACAAGGCAGAGTGCGTTTGTATCTTATACCTGAGGCAAGATCAACAAGAGGAGTTCAGGATTAGGGGGAGGGAAGAGGAGGAAGGTGAGAGTCAGGGGTCAAGACAAGGGGGCAGGGGGGGGATACAGTATTTTTTTTTGGGCGTAACTTACCGAATTACTTAAGACTATGGCCTCTGAGGGAGAGAGTCATTCTTGACATACCATCAGCGTGAAGCAACCTACAGGTACCGGTGTCGGTACGAGTACTGCAGGTCATGGCCGCCATCATCAGGCGGAGAGTTATCGAATTGCCACTCCACCGGTTTTGGGACGCGGCAAAGACAATCCCATTGTTAGCCTAGATCTCTAGAGCTTTGACGATGTGCACTAATAGGAATTCTCCCTCAACCTCTCAAGCGAGCTAAACTTGTAATGGCTTTCCTACTAAGGATCTACTCGAGTACAGTAAATTTAAACCTCCCTCTGCACATCACACTGCACAAAATTCGAGTACTGCACTTACTCTCTCAAATCAATATGATAACGTTACTTGCACTTCACCATCCGCAAAGCCACATGGCCGAGCTTTAACATCGAGACCCAATGTGCGACGATCACCCGTTTCACACCCCAGCAACATTCCCTCAGACAACCGCCACCTACTCCCCATCAATGCTCAACGAATCCGCCTCCCCGCCCTGTTAGACTCCACCCATGGATCTAGGAAACTGTGCAGTACTGGTACTCGAGTATCACCACTGATGAAAAGTACCAGAATAACGGTGCGGTACCATAGCCCTTTTGCAGTCTACACATCCCACCTCGGAATCCCATCTCAATGCAATCATAGTTCGTTCAGATATTATCCTGGAGCCAGATTCTCGGTACACCGAGAAATATAGAAATATAGACCTGATATCGGATTGCCTTGAGTTACCACTTCCATTGCACACTTCTAACACCAACTGACCCTGCTCACCAAGTATGAGATCTGCGGGGTTTCAAGTGGGATTGTAGGTGGCATTGGTGTCGCAGCCGCCACTCTGTAAGGTCCGCAACATAAGGAGGACTCCACCGCTATATTTGGTTAGTGAGATCTCTATCTTTCTCTTATTCCCTTCCCTTGTTCTTCTTTCTGTCCTTGGTTTCACCCTTCTCTTCCTCCCCACTTGTCCCTTACCATTCCATCTCTTCTCCTTAGGTTCGTGAGAGTCCCTTTTGCTGGTGTGACTTGAGTTCATGCGTTGACTCGGCTAGACTATTTATTTCATAGTGCTCTATTGCTCTTTTACTCCCCCTCTGTACGAGTACACCGCTCCATCCTTGCCTCTACCATTCCCAGCATTCATAACGCTGGCCGTTGCCGAACAAACACTTAGCGATGCACGCAATTTACCATCCGTCACGTCGAAAATGCACGATACTGTACCATCTACTTGCTATTGGGATTTTCCTCTTTCCTCAGGCGACATGCCAGTTCATGTTTCCGCCCCTGCCGGCTCCTGCCGACATCTTTACCACCCAAACTCGCTGCGGGGCGTTTTATAACGAATGTATGGAGACATTCAGGACCTGTATAAGGATTGCGGGCCCGAATGATAAGTCGACTTGCGAGGATTGGAGGAGTAGGGTTTGCGAGGATATGATCAGGATGGGATGCGATCGGTTACCAAACGAGAGGCAAACGGGTGATGGGGGAACTGTGGGTGGTGGGACTGTAGGAATGGGAGTGACAAGCTCTAATCGAACCTCCAGTGTGGTTTGTTTCCAAACGTGTTACCTTAGAGTGAGGGAGAGGCAGGTTGGCTGATGCTGGTATTATATGATAGCCCACGGGTTCGAATGCCCGCACACTCAAGCCGACGTCCATAGACTCACCACTTTCTACACAGCCAATCTCATCCCAACCCACGCAAGTAAACGATCCCTCGTCACCAACTCTGACCCTCCCAATGCCAACCCAAGTCTTCCCCTTGCCAACAACCCCACCAATCATCCCACCGACACCGTTTTCCTCTATTGCAACATTATTAATAACTTCAACCATAACGACCACCCAAACCTTCACGGCAGGAACCTCAACCTGGACCGCAACAATGACACGGACAATGACAACTACCGAGCGCCGCGGGCTCAACTTTACGGCGATATCAAATGACTCGGCGAGGCCATGGTGTCGGACGGGGGTAGACGTCGGTCTCTTGTTCTTCTGGAGCATTGTTGGGTGGACGGGCTGTTTGATTTAATATAATTCGATGATTACGCTCGCTCACTCGCTCGTGCTGGTAACAGTTGGTTGCATAATCGGCTCAAGAGCTGGAGACTCTTTTTGATTAATTCTATGTAGCATAGAAGGGGGGGGGGTTAGTATATAGTTCTAGTCATTAATATTGTTGCTATCTTTAGGGCTTGGTGTATATCTGAGTCTCAAATTGTAGCCAGAAGTCGCCTGTTAGTTTTTATATTCCGCTTGCTCTCTTTGCACTCTTTGCACTCACACAGCACAATTTCCTGAGTATATATACGAGTGATCTATTAAACCAATGCCAAGTTCGTTCAGTGTGGCGGGGCCTCATGAAGCTCCCCACATGATTCTACCCACTACTGTATCGTTACTGGAACCCTAGCTCTTTCCGTCCTTATCTGATCATCAGCACTGGGATTATCTACAATCGATGTGAACCGCCAACTAATATCATACTTCGCGTCTAGCCGTTAATTTATCCCGTGCTAAATAGCACCTTCCCCTCCTCTTCTACCATTCTCTGATTATAACCATCCATCTACTTTAATCAATTTTCTATCACTTTTATCGTGCGAATTGGCCCAAATGACTTTAATAACATATCTTGCCCACTGCCGCACTTGGTGAGAACAACTTGCCTTCATAATACCACCACCCCTTATGCTATACAACTCACTAACCTCGTTAACACTAAACGATAGTCAAAACAAGCAAACGGCGCGCGATGCCGCAATCGCAAACCTCCTACCGGTTTACCACTCCCCGCTCGAGCAGTACGACTGCGAAATACTCAACACACCGGTTGAAGATGCTGCGAGGTTCGTGCGCAAGGGGGAATGGAAACCGGTCGACATCCTCAGGGCCTACGGGAAGCAAGTTATAAAAGCCCACAAACAGACAAATTGCTTAACAGAGGTTATGATCTCGGACGTGGAGAAGTGGTTAGGACATCCCCCATCGAGCAGTAGTGATGTGGGTAGTGATGTGGGTGGCGGGGTAAATCTGAAAGGACCGCTGTCTGGGATTCCGGTTAGCTTGAAGGACACGGTGAATTTTAAGGGGTATGATTCGTGTATTGGGTATTCCAAACTCGCAAATAACCCAGCACAGTACGATGCGCCAATTGTTCAATTATTGAAAGATGCGGGGGCTATGCCATTCGTAAAGACCAATGTCCCGGTTACGTTGATGAGTTTTGAGAGCGCTAATGATGTGAGCACCTACCTTTTTTTTCTTCTTTTCTTTCTCACTGAAGTGGTGCGCGGAAACTGATTAAGCGTAGGTATGGGGAGCTACAGAAAACCCACATGTCAAAGGGTACTCGCCTGGCGGGTCCTCCGGCGGGGAGGCAGCACTGATAGCGTTAGGCGGCAGCAGAATCGGCGTGGGCACGGATGTCGCAGGAAGCGTACGGGTGCCCGCGCATTACTCCGGGATCTGCGCTATTCGTTGCTCTGTCGGAAGGTTCCCAAGGTCTGGGAATGCGACATCAATGGCTGGACAGGAGGGCGTTATGGCGGTCTACTCTCCCATGGCAAAGACAGTGGAGGACTTGGGCTTCTTTTTGAAGACGGTTATCGATATGAGGCCCTGGACCTATGACCATCACGTCATCCCCCTTCCATGGCGAGACGTGCGGGATGAGATGGAGAACAAGACCGTTCGCTGGGGAATACTCCGGGACGACGGGATTGTCACTCCAAGCCCTGCTTGTAATCGTGCATTGGACAACGTTATCATGGCACTAAAGTCTCAAGCACACGAAGTTGTTGAACTGTGTGTCCCTCTCTTCGCACGGTGTTTGCTCTTGTTAACAAGACCAGCAACAATAACCCCTCGGTCCTCGAATCCCTTTGCGCCGCCTCCCGCCTCCTAAACTCCGACGGCGGCGCCACCCTCTCCAGCCACTTTCAATCCTTCTTCGAATCCAACGATCCGGGAATGCGCCTGATGCTAAGATACTTTTCACTCCCCCGCTGGTTCAAGTTCCTGCACTGGGCATTTGTCAAGTACCTAAAGCGGGACCAGGTCTGGGCCGCTTTGATCAAAGATTGGAACCCAACCTCATCCGCAGATCAGTGGAAGCTTGTATCGAGGAGAGAGGATATACGTGCTGAATGGCATAAATTCTGGAACGAGAGTGAATTGGACTTTATCATTAGTGTACCGAATGCACTCCCGGCTGTACCGCACGGTGGTATGAAGAATGGATTTGTTAATTGTTCTTATACTTTAATTTGGAACTTGGTACGCCTTCCCCCACCCCTTCCTCCGCGCCAGCAGAACTAATAAGGTGGGTAGATGGACTACGCCGCGGGCGTCCTCCCAGTAACCAAAGTCGACAAAGAGAAAGATGCTCTAACACCCCAGTTTAGAATCAACAACAATGCCGTCGCGAGGAGCGCCTATAAAGACTATGACGCAAACAAAATGCACGGACTTCCTGTGGGGGTACAGATCGTGGCGCGCAGGTTCGAGGAGGAGAAGGTGATTTGGGGACTGGAGAAGGTGAAGAGTGTTCTGGAGGATGTTGGCGATTACTATGTTGTTGTTGAGTGCTAGAATGGTGTGTTATGAAGTCCGTGGAGTGGGTTATCGCGTGCATGCCAGCGAGTTTTTTTTTTTTAATTTTAGCGTAGGATGTGTGAATGGACGGGGAGGCGTGGGGGATAGGATTGTGATGTGAAATGCGGGTTCGGGGGCTGGGGGCACGGTTCTAGTACTATATGTTGCGGAGTGGGCGAATGTGTACTGTACCGGCTCCCGGCTCCCGGCTGGCCCGGAGACCACTGAAACACAAATGCATACTACTAGCACTGTAACCCCGATCTACCGCGACGACCACCTGCCGTTGTATGCTGTCGTGCATATGCCCAACTGCTGTAAACCCGGCAACCCCCTCCTTCAGGCATATATACCCCAACTATTAAAAACTGCTCTACAGCACAGAACACCTAAAAGCCACATTCCATCCCTACCGCTCCCATCCCCCTACTAACACAGAACATCAATGATATAAACCCTACCGATACCACTTCCCAACCCGAACCAGCAGTGCATCCTAACATACCTGGACTCTTTCTTGTTGAGTGGCATGGTGTATGGGAACGGCCTAAGCTGTTGAGGATGTGTTAACGGAATCCGAGGTATGGAAGTTCTCGTGATGAGGGTAAACTGGACCCCACACAACACCGATTGTTTGTACTTAGCTACTATAGCAGCCTCGCGCCAGATAATTGAACTAAGTTCCATCCTTCTCTCATCTGTCACCCAACGTTCCTCTGCACGCCCGCTCCCCTCTCTCGACCCACCGCAGAGGTGAATAAGAAAAAAGGAAGCTATTACGGTGCCTCTCGGGCGCGGAAAAATATATAGCTCGAATTAACATCTCGGCGGGGTTAATGCGGCTCATTTGGCGGCCAGATCAAGCCGCTCAGCTCTGCTTTCATGTTCAGCACTAGTAATCTATATGGGACCGCTCCGGTTTGGGTTTCCACTGTTGTTCTGTATATGATTACTCATATAATGCGAAGTTGTGTTCCTAATCTGTTCTGGATTTCTGAGGCAGAGTGCGCTGCAAGGGCTTTGTATGCGTCGTGGCAATAATTTGGTTTGCATATTTCCCCACTACAGCGGGGGGGGGGGGCAAAAATACGTTCACATTTTTTAGGTGTTTGGGCTTACTAGAAATGTGAACGTATTTTTGTCTCCCGCTGGTACGAAAAAAAGTAAATACCGCACTTGGCTACTTCCCCCCCTCCCCTAGCCATGAGGTATGAAGGCTTCTCAAGTAGCAGGTCCCCGGCTCTGGTAGGGTTAGCCTGATTGTGATGCTGATGGGAGAAAAACCTCTTGGGATATGATTAATTGGTTTGTGGGGTTCTAGTATTGATGACATGGAATATATGTTTCTGGGATTTGGGGGGGTGTCCTGGACCGCACAACTAGATATCGGTTATTGTCCAGATATTGGTTATTGTTCACGCGGGGGCATCTGCGGTAGTAAACAGGTACGTGGGTAAGCTGGGTCCTTCCAGCTACACACCGGCGGAGTACTGTACTGAGCGTAGTAAAATGAAAGTTTGTATCAATACGAATCCGCCATTACGCCCAGGAACTCATTCGCTGTCTATCTCTCCACCATCAAGCCTTACAAATATCTACCAAAAGATCCATTCAAGTCCCAAGCTTGTAACCCTAATGCCTCACATCGCGGAATTCCTATTATGAACTTGCCATGTTGCCAAATACTCTTCCAGAAGAATCAAAAGCACTTGAGTCATCCTATATTGTTAAGTTGACTTAGCCAAAGAGGTAGCGGCCGATCATCTACCAGCAATTCTTGTTATCCATTTGTTGTCCAAAGGGTTGGGTTGGGGATGCTTCGCGAGCGATGCAGATTCAAGTGCTATCAAGTGTCCCGGTGGACCCGTGGTCTGCCCATTCCAGCACATTCCTGCATCCATCTGGTGTCCCTAAGCGGCTCGCCAGTTCCCCCAGCACTGCATGCGCCCGGCCAGATGACCCAAGCTTCACCAGGGGCCGCTCAACTGAACCGTGAGAAGGGCCGGCCTCCCTAGCCTCGGTGTTCGATAGGATTTTGGATACCATGTGGGCCACATCTTGTGGTTCTAGGCGAGGCGAACTTTTCTTCATGATGGTATCAGTAACTCAGGGTGAATGATTTTCGGTGATGTGTGGTTGACATGCTTCATACGCTAATATGGAAATCACTAATGACTGTGGGTCCATTTAGTTGTGCTGATCTTGCGGACTTCACTTCCTGCTCATGGGAGAGGAGAAAACTAAGAAATCTATATAAAAGGTCGAACCATGATGGACACATTCCGGTCCCTTGTTCAATTACTCTCGTGAAAAGAAAAGGGAAGAGTTCCCCTCCAAACACAGTCTTCAATATAGTTTATTATCTCGGTCGAGGGGGAAAGGATTCTTAGGAAACCATGGGCAGCGGTGGCTGCTCGAGGTCACATCATGTGGCTAAGTTGACTTCCAAAGGCAAAATAGAGGAAAATATCATGACCCCCGCAATACCCGTCCTTCCCCAGCCCCATCACCACAGCGCCACAAGCACCCCCCCCGGGGCGACCGAACCAGCGTAGTCTCCTATGTTTGTCAGTTCGCTTACAAGCCCACAGAAGCGCAGCTATTTGCCGGCTCATGCTATCGGGTCATCATGGGAAACTAGAGCACAGCTAGGTTACAACCGAATATATTCATACGAGATCACTCGTAGATTAAACCAAATATGATCCTACGTTTGTGAGCAATCACTAGTAGCGGATAGCGGGTGATAAGAATGGAAGGATAAACTGGGTATTTGTGAACATGATTGAATAGGCTCGCTTAGGGTTAGTATCCACCCGGATATTCTCTGCCCGAGCGCTCAGGGTCACGAAATTCCGACTCGGAATACAGATTGCATTGAACGAGAGTCAGGAGACCTACGAGAACCTTGGTGGGAAGCGAGCAAAGACACGAACATGTTGGAGGGTAACTAATAAATGGCAGAGTGAGTGGAGTATAATGGGACTTGGCCATCATGGAGACACTATAGGAAAGATAGGAAAGATATGGTCGTACTCTTTATTCTTGTCTTGTGCTTGTCATCCCAAACTAAACTAATGGTAAAGACAGCAGTGTGTATGATATAAAACATAATTCAATCATTTCGCTCCTTCCGTGCATCATCCACCACACATACCTGTTTCCGCCCATGCGTATCCCACTTCCCTCGTGTACCCCGATATTAACAAAAAGAAGGACTCCAATGGAGAACCTTCTGCGTAGATCACTATAACTCCGGAGGGAAAGATACCTTCCACAACACTCTTGTAACTTCTGCGAATGACCACAGCTCATTATATTCCTCTGTAAATTCCAAAGCAAAGAAGAGCTTCGGAGGACAAAAGTACCCTCATCTCAACGTTCCCTACTGAACCCTGTATTCGTGGAGTGAGAGCATCGTTCGTATCGAAGTTATTGGCCGGTGTGCTCCCAAAAAGATTCCTAATCTAAAAGCCCACTCCGGCAATTCTCCGGTGCTTTAATTTTTAAAGGTCTTCACTCGGGGTTTCGGTATTCGCTATTTCATCTGTTGCCGATTTGGGTTGGCTGCTGCATTATTTTCCTTCGTGGGCATACAATGTTGCTGTGCTGATGGAAGTATTGCCTTCTGGTTGAATCTCGTACGGATATAGTAGGCGGAGGGACTATGGAGGAGAAAGAATAACCATGAGCCCGTCAGAGAATCACTTGTTGTTGAATCGTAGGAGGGGAACGCTCCGAAAAACTACCGTAGTTTACAACTTTTACCCCACCACCGGGCTTGGAACGTGCCTGGAACCATACCATTTGTGCAAGGTTCAGTGAGTAGTGGCCATTGCTCTGTGTGAGGCCAGGGTGTCGAATTCCAATCGGGGAAACATCTCGCGCGAGGATCAACAATAGGCCAACCCCGCCTCTTCATTATGGTACAGGTATCAGCACAATCGCTACCTCATTTAGGTACCGTATTGTACGAGTGGAAAAATATCAATAAGCTCCCATCGGGAGAGTAAGAAAATAAAGTGTCACTAAAGACTACACTGGGGGGGAAAGAAAGCGGGGCATGGTGTGCATGAAAATGAATGTCTTTAGGAAGTAGGAGTCGGGTTGAATACACAGCTAAGGTGTTCGCTAGGATCTGATAAAGTTTAGATGGGCCTACCTCTGCACTTTCCGCGTTGTCCAAGAGGACTTAACATGACCAGAGTTTGTTGAGAGAAGCCTCCAAAGCCATGGTATTTCAATTTTTCAAGGGGAGTTGGGAAATAACAATCTGACTACGGTACCACTGAGACAGAGATATGTCGATACCTTCCTAAGATGAGGCACGGAAATGGCAAAAGAGGATTAGGTTTTGCAGATCACAGGATAACTTAACGGCTAAGCTACTTCTAACCCCAAATCTCACCCACTCCATGAATCCAAACCAAACCAATTATCCAACGGGCATCGAAACTGATTTCATTGATCGGGAAAAATTAAGAGAGATCCCGCGATAATCTAACGCCCGCACGAAAAAAAAAAAAAGAACAAGAAAGAGAGAATCCCCCAGTATACAATCGCGCCTCCAGCCTATTGAACCCGATCACCCACATACAACTCCCTAGGCCTCCCGCCCGTTGAGCACGGCGCAAATTTCCAAAACGCCCTACACGGAAGCGTGCAAACATTCCTCAGGAACCACAACACTGGGGCTGGCGCAGGCGGAAAGTTTTTGTGTATCCCCCCTTCATAGGTGACGTCCAGGGCAGTCATCATAAAGGCAAGCGCGGTGGTCTTGTTGATGGTTCCAAACTCATGCTTAGCCTCAAGCTCGGCGATCTCTATGATAGGAACCTTCTCAATGCCGTACGTGCGCAGCGCCGTTAACGTCGGGATCTCGTCCGCTAGATGCTGCGCGAGAAGGCGAGCAAAGGTGTCGAGTATCTCGATGAGCTTTTGCCCCGCGAAGGTCTCCGGCAGGGCGGCGTGGATGTACTCGTCGAATTTGGCGAGGCCGTCGTGGAACTGCTGGTGCTGTGATACATTTGGCTGCATTAGACCGGGCACGCCTGCGGCTTTCTCGATTGTGGGAAAGAGGATGGTTTCTTCGTTCTTGTGGTGCGAGTGCAGGAATTCGGACCAGGCTTTGCAGTATCCGATGAACGGTTGAACATCATCGACCGGGACGTGTGGCGCTTGGAGGTAGATCGAGTTCATGCCGCGGATGATAATGTTGTGGATGAGGGCCATTTCGGTGGCGGCTTGGGTGAAGGGGTCCTTCATCTGGGGGGTTTTGTTAGTCCTGGTGGCTGCCAGGAAGATATGCAATGGGAAGAAGTGAGGCGTAGTGGAGGGTGGTATAGTACTTACGTCTCCGTCGAGTGCTGGCGTTGATATGAGCGGGAATGGTCCATCCGCCCACTGCCTAGCTCCGATGATGGTCATATTGTTTGCTGGTATAAATTCCGTCAAATTTGAGAGAGTAGTAGTAATAGATACGATGTCCTTCTCCTTTTCCTCAGCTCCCTCTAGAGGCACTTTTGGGTGGATTTCGGACGTCCGAGGAATCCCACCCCCCTTATATAAAAAGCCCACCTGTAAAAAAAAAAACAGGGTCGGTCCGAGTCCCCTGCATGCATAAGACAAGCCTTGCAGCAAATTCTGTGCTCGTATCTGAACTGCACTCGTGGTAGACACGACCACTATTGCATGACAATTTATGATATTACCATGACACCGAGATCTGAACAACAAAGCTGGATTTTGGCAGTAAGCAATAGCAGTTGTGTTCACAAACGTTATTCAATCGCAAGCAGTGTCCAATAAACAAAGCATTTTTGACCCGGTCCCAACTTGTAAATCACGTCTTTCGTTGGAGATTTTTGATTTACTAAAGTGGGTTTGCTCAAGACTTATGGCTGGCAAAACGATACGGGTCTGCCCAGCGGCTAATCAAAGCTAAGGCAAGTGGAGTTAATAATTGCTATTACCTATCCAAGTATCTTCTTTTGGGTGCAAGCGCAGCTATTCGTTTACCAAAACAGAAAGAACGTACAAGTAATACCGGTATTTGGCTGCCTAATCTCAAATACCGTAGCTGTTCCAGAACTTTCTTGCGTGACCTCCTAATGAGCTCTGAGGCTTCTGAATCTTGTCTTAGAGGAGTTCGAAAGAAAAAAAATGGATTAAACCGCACGGGCCAAACTCCCTGACCAACTTTTGTTTGTCTGCTCTGAGTGTGACATCCTGGTTTGAGCCAGGACTACGAGTAATCGCTGTCTGGTTGGGTCCCTCCAAATATCTAAACCTAAGACATGAGGCGTGAATTCCCCCACACTGTCAACAATTTTCCAAGAACGCTTATGCGCAACCGGCAATCACCGGGACATTGCCAATCAATTGACCGGAGCGCAAAAACTTAAACTAAGATTTTGGGAGCTTTGTGCCCGGCGATTCGCACATTCCCAAGTCACTCGGAGAACCCCACGTCTGTGATGGCGCTTTTTAATCCGTATTAGCAACGTGGCAGTGGCAGCCATATGATAGTTCTTGTGGCTCCTCCCAGGGTACAGTACGGTACTGTACACCACTGTAACCATTACCCTGTATCGTTGATCGGATCCAGGATGGCCCCCGATTTCAACCTCTAGAAATGCTCGGATTGCCGGGACAGCCACATTCGCAGGAGTTGGGAGGGGACTTGTGAATGCCAAGGGAATATCCAGAAGAACCGATGTTGTGTTGAAAGGATTACCACTTCTCCCTCTCCGACCGGCATGAGCATTTTACTCAACCAGTCAGATAGGAAAGCACAATTGCTTTTCGCAATGATACAAGTACGAGTATGATTTACCGTCTCATTCTTCGGTAGTTAGGTTGTTCCCATGCTATTGGTAAGGTTTTCCTTTTCCCTGCCGTTTGTGCCGGTTCTTTCGTTTGAGGCGGTTCCCAGGACAAGGTTAAGGTTCTGGAAGCGAGGATCATAGGACAAGAACACTCCTGTCACCGGGATGGTGGTGGGTGGATTAGGCGGGGCATGTCGGATACTACCTCTTGCCTGTGCAGCACCATACGGTATTGCCCCTGAGAGTAGTAGGGCGCAATGTCTCCATCTGTGTCTGTAGTGCGCGCGATGTCCGGTGCGGGCGGGATATCTCTGCGATATGACCCTCTGAATGGAACCAGAATGGGCAGAAGAGTTCCCGAAAATTAAATTACAGAGAAACCTTGGCGTTGTTGTCGATTAAGTGAAGGTTCTCTCGATAGACCTCATGCTGGGGGAGCATTACTCGAGTAGAGTCAAAAGGCGAAGAAATGCAGTCTTGTTTCTTTTAGGCGTGAGAACTTGAGCCTAAAGTTTTCGATACCATAGAACTTTACTGATAACGCACACTAATGCAGCGTTGGACTGGGGTATCCCCGCACGATAAATTTGGGATGGGTGTCATCCTCCCTGTTCTCAATGCTACTTTCTTTAACGAGTATTGGATAGAATCCTTGACATCCAGACGAAGGTTCACCTGGTACAGGACTAGTACGAGTACTTGTACTCGTCCATACAATACCGACCAGGTTCTCCATATCTTACGGGAGCTGCCTAAATCCTACCTAGGGAAACCTGGGCATCGCTCACTGGGGAAATCTAAGGCGAGCCGGCGTCGCCTCAAGAAATCCGATTCAGAACCTCGGACCGAAAAAGCAACCGTGCGTCTTCTCCAGTGGATAAATATTTGAGTATCATATCCGTTCGCGATCTCGGAGCAATTCCCCCGCCCGGAGGTTAATATCAGAGGCCGTATCTGAAAGCCCTAGATACCGTTGTCCCCAATTGCGAATGTCGTTCTGCTCGTGATCCCTCGATTGCATCCCGTACTTGTAATCGTGGGTGCAATATTTTTGCGCCTAAATTCCGTTTATCTCACTTCATATCACAATACCTATCCGCCTCCCGCACCTGCTTATAGCGCACTGGCGTGGTTTAAGCCATTCGGACACGGGTCGCAGTGAGATTTAGGTTTCTCCCGATATATTGCTTTTCTCTCGCTGTCGATACCTAGCGCACCAAAATATTGTCGTCCAGTAATCGGCCTGTATCAAGCACTTCCAGTATCACTCTTTATCTACTAGTACCGTACCGGTATTGATAGCAGATGCAACGTCGCCTAGTCCGGCTTGGAATAACCCTCAAATGCGACCTCTGTACGAGTAATGCATATCATGTGTACTGTACAGTACCACACATATGACAAGACAAGGTAGAAGCAGCGGACGGTTCCAGGTTTTCTTTTGATCTGGCCTCCGACTGGGAATGTTATACTCGATCGTGATAGATAGTAGATGGTTGGGGCACTGTGTAATATTATACTCCAGAACTACCGATAGGACCCTCGGTAAGTTGAACCGGCTCAATCCTCGTGGGAAATTTCCAAAAGGTTGCGAAGGGGAGCCCAAGGCTCCTCCCGTGGGGGGTTTTTTTTTGGAGCGTACGGTATTTGGGTAATAGCGTTCACCGGGGGCCCTGAGTGTTTCACTCTGAAGAATCAGATATTCTCGATAACCGTGGATCCCCGAGTTCTGTGGCTTGCCAAGGACTACCGTAATTAAAACAAAGTTTTGGAAAGGGAAAAAACAAAGGCGATTCACAACCTTTTTTCTAGTAACCTATGGGGAGTCCGTACTCGAGTACAAGTAGTATGTTTGGGGCCGCCGGTCTAGTACCGTATGCAGAGTGGGCTGTGATGTGTTTATTCCTAAATTAGAGAGCAGAAAAATGAGGGATGGAATGGGCCTTGATTGCTTGGAAGGTTCCGGTAGGGGAAAAAAAGAGAGGAGGAAAAAGAAAGCATGAGTAAAGTTAAACGTGGGATACCGGCACTATCTGCGCCATGAAGGCGGGATGGTTTCCGCGCGTGGCAGCTACAGTTCGAGGTAACGCCCTAACGTATTTCGATTGGTATACATTGCGGGGCAGAGGGTTATCGTATTAGTGGACTGGTCGAGAATTTGCAAGGAAATGCGTGCTCAGACCCAGACCGGTAGACTGTGCAGTACCCCTCCTTTTTATTCCGTGTTGACAAAGGGCGAATGGCGTCCTGTGTTACCTGGATAGAGCAGGACACATTCAACAACTTGCAGTTCATGAGATGTCGAATCACCCCTGCAATTTCAAGATGGACTACACACCATCGAGCCCCGTGGAAAAAACAGGGCAGAGGGTAGCCTGAGGGTAGGCCCGCTGAATACATCCTTGAAAAAATAGATGGTATAGACCGGCAAGCTATCATGTCATTAACAGAGTCTTAAGCGTAGCAAATATTTGAATGAGACAGTCTCATTGGGTGGGAGGCATTTTGATTGTGCCTTTGAGGGGCAATGCGGTAGACTTGCCCTCGATTCCCAAGTACAGAACGAAGGGGCTTGTGAAAAAGGAGGTACAGAGCAGTATGACGCCTCCTGCTGATCATGACTTGCGATGCGATACAGTAGAAACTCAGATTAGTTGCCGGTGAAGGAAAAATGTGCAAGGACATTGCAGTTTCCTCTCCCATTGTGGTGCGGTGCATGTCCTTTCTGTGTAGGCTCAACTGGCGGTCGAGTTTGCGGTGTTTTCCTCTTGTGTAGCCGGGAAGGAGAATTCCAACGCCATGGCGCATTTTTCTCTTCTACTCGAGTATTAGAGTTCCAATCGTGCCCAGGGATGGAGATCCGCCAAACCTGGCACTTGCAGCGACAAGCACTTCACACCTCTCAATGGAAGCACGAATGAACCCAAGATTTTACCAAGTACTGTACTGTACCTAGCACACGTCAGGAGAAACACCAAATCTAATCCCTCGGAGACGCTCTTGCGATGTTCCAAAGGGCACAATATGCCTTTTTCCCTCCCATTTCTATCCCGCAAGTTGTCGAGACATTCCGGTCAATTTTAATACTGTATCTGGAATACTAGCCTATTTCGGTCGTTATGATAGGAAAAACCTTGCTGTTCGCAAGGGGTGATGTGCCCGGGATACTGGAGAATCTATCTTCGGGGACGCAAGGTTTAGAGCTCTAAATTATCCCATAAGCTGTTGGTCGGTTTTAAAATCTCAAACACTAACCTATTTGAGTAATCGGGAGTAAATCTACGCCTAATTTTTAGTCTGCATCACGGCCATGCTGAGCAATAGTTCTACTCATATGATACTTCATTCCGCGCATTTTGTGATCACTCCCGGGGCGAAGAGGGGATTATGTGTGAGAGTAGGCAACGTATTAGGATGGAGAAATTAGATTGAATATCCCAGAAGTTTTTAACGACAAAACTATCATTGCGGTGCTCGCGAGCGAGAAAGGGAGATTAAATACAGGCTGGGTGGTGTAGATCTCGGTTACCTCGTATTAGAGTAATCTATTTTAAGTAGTCCAAAACCCGAATCAGAGTCCAACTTTTCAAAGTCTATAGCCTCTACCGCCACAAGAGTAATTCCAAACACATAAAAAACCCAGACACTATTCACCCCTTTCTTGTCTCTATTGCGTTGGGTTTATTT